TGTTTATTTATTTGGTTTTTTAAAAATTATTCATTTATCTATTTATTTGTAGGGGGATGTGGGGGGGGGGGGACAAAAACGCAAAAAAAACCACGGGCGGGGCCCCCTGGCGGAATTGTTCTGTACTGTTAGAATTCCCCTTCTTGGAATTCTTCAGCTATTGCAATTTTTACACTCTTGTTTTGATAATTTTAAAACTTTAAATCCTAAACTATTCTGATTTATTGATGATATTCTATATCATCAATATCCAGACCCCCCCCCTTTCGGAGGGAGATGGACAGTTAAGATATTTGAAGTATAAATAAATAAGCAAAGCAAGTAAGTCAAAGCAACAAAAATACCTAATACTCCTTCCTCCTCCTATTTTCCCCACAACCACAATTCTGTCAAATGGGCTGAGCTGAGAGAGAGAGAGAAAGAGGGAGGGAGGGAGGAAGAGAGAGATGGAGAAAGAGGGAGGGAGAGAGAAGGAAAAAGAGGGAGGGAGGGAGAGAGACTGGTGCAAACTGACCATATGAGTAAATGGCCAATATCTATATTGCTGTTAAACACACATCTGGTATTCCAGAGGCCAATTTCAGCAGAGTTTCAGAAGAACTACTAATCCCAATATTAAAAGAACCACTGCACGACTACGGCGGTCCGGGTTTATATCCCCATTTAATCAGAAAATTATTTAGGTATCCTTGGGCCAGTTATTCTTAATTTGTTTAATTTGAAAATTAAATATCAACAACGTTGTTTCTAGCCAAATCACAGAGGTCACCTACTTTAGCCCCAATCTTGAAAGAAAAGAAGCAAGCTGCGCGTATTTTCAATCAAAACAAATTCATCCTTGTCCCAAACTTTCCTCGTCCAATGCCTGCTAATTTCCATCTCACTACAGAGGAAGGACCACAAATTCTTGAAGAAGACAAGAAGAATCTCCATTCCCACCCACCCACCACCCACACACACTTTGCGGGCCTCACCTCCCGCCCGAGTCGCTGCTGAAGCTTGCTCAGCTCGTATTCTTTCTTGAGGAGAGAAAGTGCTTTGTAGAGGCGTTTTGGTATCTGGAAAAAGAGAAGCAACAAAACAGGTTCACATTCGGGCCAACCAGTGCGCTCTGGGCAGCTGTGCCCCCCAACTGTCACCGTTTAAAGGGTGGTGAATTATTCCCCATTGCTGAGTCTCATCAAACTGGGCATATTGAAGGTGCGGTAGTCTCTTCTCCCTTACATTTGTTTCTTCTAGGACGTCCTGAAGCTCATGTGATTCCGCTCCGGTCAAAGCTGCGCCCATGTCACTCAAGTAGATGGGGTTGTCAACCACCCTTTGTCCGGCCTGCATCATCTGAAGCACAGATTCTCTGCAAGAACCACATTGAAGCATATGTCAAAGGAAGGATGCATCCAGCACGGAGGTGTCAAGCTCAAGGGCCGCAGGGTGCTTAGTTCTGGCCCACAGGGCCTTCCTGCAAACAGCAAAGGACCGGCCCGCGGTGCCTCTCCCAGCAAAAATGGAACTCGGGAGGGCCATGTGCAGCCCTCCCAAACTCCGTTTTCACAGGCAGTGGGTTGCAGGAAGCCGTACCAGCGAAAACGGAGCTTGTGAACCTGTTTTCGCTGGCAAAGCGCTCGGGCCACCACAGGGGCACCAAACATGAGTGATGTCAAGCTGGTCACGCCCACCCCGGACCCCTGACGTCAAACATAACCCTGATGCGGCCCTCAATGAAATTGAGTTTGACACCCCTGGTCTAGCAGAACCTTACAATGCTTTCCTGTGCATACACCAAAAGAACCCCACACACAAGAGATCAGGGACCAAAATTTCCCTTTTTGATAAAATAAGTTGCCTGATAAGGTAAGTAGCTCACGCCTGATTTTATGACTTTTCGTGCCCTGGTCGTTAACTGAATAACTGCAGTTAAGTGATTTGTCTGGTCATTAAGTGAATCCAACTTGTCCCATTGACTTTGCTGGTCAGATGCTGGCTGGAAAAATGGCAAGCAGTATTCTCACATGACGCTGGGACGTTGCAACCGTTGTAAAGTGCATGTTAGTTGCTAAGTGCTCAAATTTTGATTATGTGACCACAAGGGTGCTTCAGCGGTCATAAGTATGAGGACCCAAACGTAAGTCACATTCTTTTCAGTGCTGCTGTAACTTTGAATGGTCACTAACAGCATGGTTGTAAGTTGAGGACTACCTACACCCTATGTATGTATGTATGTATATTTTACAGGTGGTCCTTAACTTACAACAGTTTAGTGACTGTTCAAAGTTACAACGGCCCTGAAAAAACGGACTTATGGCCGTTTTTCACACTCACCACCATTGCGGCATCCCCCATCGTCATGTGATTGAAATTAAGATGCTTAGCCACTGACTCCTATTTACGACGGTTGTGATCCCCAACAGGCATGCCTTTACGATGGTCTCCTTTTGCGACTTTCTGACAAGGAAAGCCAGTGGCGAAGCCAGATTCACATAACAACTGGGTAACTAACTTAACAACTGCAGATTCACTTAACAACCGTGGCAAGAAAGGTCGTAAAACGGAGCAAAGTTTCACTTAACAAAAGTCTCACTTAGCAACAGAAGCTTTGGGCTCAATTGTGGTCCTAATTATGGGAGTGCTTGTATTATCAGCCTGCAGGCAACAGCTACGGACAAGGAAGAGGAAATGCCTCCAGATTAAGGAACGGAGAAGGTTTATGAGGCAGGAATCCACTTTCACTCAAATTGCTGCTAAATCCCATGTTGGGCACGCAGGACACGGTTCCCTGTTTTGTGTGGATTTCTTTGCTGGGCTATTTTGCTGTTATTTACAAACCCCCAATTACTAAGAAGCAGCATCCCCATCAACCCTCATCTACAAGCTACCCAGGAAAAAAACGATTGCTTCATAAACTGAATTTTACCTTCCTAGGTTTACGGTGGGAAAAGATCTGAGGGATGCACAACAGGTGCCCCTGCACGTACCTGGGTTTAGGGAGGAGAGGAAGCCTACCTGTAAAGTGGATTCAAGGCAATGATGTCCCGGATGGTCTTAACAATTTCTGCCGTCAGAGCCTGCAAACAAATGGTAGGAACAGAATGAATACTGGAAGGGAATCTCCAAGTGTATATCTGTATTTGCCCATCTCACAGGGCTCCATGGGTCTGCAAGAGAGATTCGTGTGTGTGTGTGTGTGTGTGTCCCCTGCTTGGCTAAGACAGGGTTAATACATGCAGAAGAGGGTATCCTTTGCATTCTCAGCTATAGGTTTGGGTGGTTTCCTTCCAGAAAGAAGTCCTGCTAGGTCCCCTCACTCACTTTGACTTCTTCGGAGACCTGGAAATCTTCATGGGCCACGTTCTCCACTTCCACCATGAGCACCTCGCCTGGAGACGCCTGGAACGGTTCCAGCACCACTTCAGCGTCCTGTTGCTTTGTCTCTGGTTGCTCAGCCACTTCTTGCTTGGAGCGCCTCTGCTTCTGGCGGGGTTTCTTCTTGGTCTCAGCCTCTTCCAACTCCACTTCCATGCGCTTGTTGATGCGAATTCTGAAACCCCAAAGAAGGAAAATACTGAACGGATTTGGTAAGAACAGGGAACCCACATAAGAAAAACATATTTTTTTTTCTTATCTTCTTGGCTCAATACAAAGCGTGGCATTTCTGTTTGAAATACTAACATGGTTTAAGGATTCAAGATAGAAAGGTCCCCCCGCACATATGTGCTAGTCGTTTCCAGCTCTAGGGGACGGTGCTCATCTCCGTTTCAAAGCCGAAGAGCCAGCGCTGTCCGAAGATGTCTCTGTGGTCATGTGGCCGGCATGACTAAGGCACATGGAGCGTTGTTCCCTTCCCACCAAAGGTGGTTCCTATTTTTCTACTTGCACTTTTTACNTAGCAGTCAGCTGAAGTAGCCTGCAGTACTGCACTCTACCCACTGTGGCACCTCGGCTCAAATTTCACAACTGATCAGACACCCAAACATAGAGATACTAGAACTTAGAATTACAGGTAGTCCTCGACTTATGACCACAATTGAGCCCAAAGTTTATGTTGCTAAGTGAAAAAAATTGTTCAATTTTGCTGCAGGACACAGTTGCTCTTTCAAAATTATGATTTAAATCAAGTTGATTTAAATCAAGCCTTTTTACTAGTGATTTAAAGCGTGATTTAAAGCGACTTGATTTAAATCAAATCCACCCTGAAAAATGGTCATGTTACTTTTTTCAGTGCTATTATAAAGTCGAATGGTCACTAAATGAAGTTGTAAGTCAAGGACTACATGTATTTCATATTATATTGTATAAGTGGGAATTCATGTTTGCAAAATTTCAGATTCTGGAACTCCAGCAATGCAACAGTAGAAACTGTATTTTAAAACACAGTACCGTATTTTTCGGACTATAAGATGCACCGGAGTATAAGACGCACCATGATTTTGAAGAGGTACATTTTTTAAAAAAGGTTTGTACTCTGCACACACCCTCTGCACACACACTAAAAAAAGAGCAGGCAGAGCCTTTGGGAGGCTTGCAAAGTTCTCCTGGGGGTGGGGGGCAAAAATGAGAAAAAACGGTCCGTTTTCCACTGCAATGGAACAAGTTGTCTTTTTATTTCTAAAATGACGTAGAGAACGTCTCCTCTTAAATTGGCCTTCAGAGCCAAAGTAACTGATCTTTAAGAGAAAACATGATGTAAGCATGTTAAAAAATTACAACTTACCTGTCATCCTTCTTGAGAAATACACCTGCATATGGCTGGGCAAGACTTACTTTTCTCCTCAACAGATCAACCAGTTTTTTGTTTTTTACCTATGAATTAAGATAGTCTTAATGAATGAGACATTCATTAACATGTTTTAAAATAGACTTAATGAATGAGACATTCATTAGCAGAAGAAGGGTCTTGATGCTGAACCCCAATACACCAGCCTTCCAACAAGATCCTTCAAAAATAAATTATAAACTGTAATTTATCCATATTATTATGCTCAACCGGGAATGCAGGCTGGGTTCCACCACAAAACCGCGGTAGACAAAAGCGCGCTCGACAAAAGCACGTACATGATGTCATCACAGCGCTGTGAGCGGTAAATTTAAAATTAAAGCGAAAACCTTACCCTAACGCCCCCAAACCTAACCCTAAACCTAACCCTAAACTTAACCCTTAACCTAAAGCTAAACCTAATGCTAAACTTAACCCTTAACCTAAA